GACATTAACTCGTCTCACTCACCGTACGATCTGTCGAGACTCCCGGCTCTTCTCCCGTGACGTTAGGAGGACCGATCACCCATCCAGCAGGGTCTCGTCGCGCTCTCGATCCACCGGGAACCGGATCTCATCCGCGCCGGCTCGATCGCGGGAAGTCAACGCTCGCAGCCGATCTTCTCTCTCTCTCTCCTTTCCTCGATCCTGCCGGTATATCTCGCGCACTCGGAATTCGGCGAACTCCGCCCGAGGAGGCGCCGTACGTGCTTCTGTCGCGGGGCCGTCAGAAAATCGCCGAGCGATCCATGGCCGATCGCGGTCGCGCCTCGGCAGGACACACGGGATCCAGCGTGATTAACCAAGCACGGACACGCGCGGGAGGACGATCCGGACGGACGAGGATCGAACGATGCGTGTGTCGCGCACAGCTACGACGAGTACGTGGAGAGCTGCCGGCCGGTCCGTCGGACCTCGTGGATGCTGACTTGTTGGCCCGACCGAAACGTGCCCGAGAGAGAGAGAGTGGGTGGAGTGCGCCCCTCGCCAGGTCGCCGACCGTGCTCTCTCCTTCGCGTCCTGCGAATGGCCTGTACCGGCGGCGCGCTCGCGACTGGGATCCTGGATTTCGGATGAGGGCTCGCTCTCAAGAATCAGCACGCAGGCGCCGCGCACTCGCCGTCTCTCTCTTCCTCACGCGCCGACTCGCCTCGGCTCTCTTTCTCCCTCTCTTTTACCAGCCGGTGCTCGCCTACCTGCTCCTGCTTACTTGTGCGGCTGAATACGAGTAACCTACCCCCTGCCTGACCCTGCCTGCCCGCCTGCGTGCTCGCTCGCTTGCCTACCTGGCTGCCTCGACGTTATCATGCTCTCTTGAATGCCGATATCTCGAAAAAGACGGGGCGCGCTATTAATAATTAGCCCCGATGACGTGGTCTTAACGACAACGCGCGGCGGGCGCGCGTTCTGCCGCTTCCTGACGTTACCGTTCGGTTAATGACGTTGAGATGCTGGCGTTAACGCGCCCCCCCCCCGCATCTCCACGTAAATGCATCAGACTAATCGCGTCAATCTGGTCGGCGGGCCTTGAGTGGCGCGCGCGCGCGCGCGCCGAGCGAGGGTGATTAACGCGTTAAAGCGAACGGGTACTTCTTCTCTCTCTCTCTCTCTCTCCCTGTATATCTATCTATCCATCTATATACCCTCTTTCTCTTCGAGCAAAATTGGAGATTGCGAAATTTCGCCGGGAAACGAACACAAGTATCGGTTTGTCCGGAGTTTTATTTAGTTTCGATCGATTAGCCTGGAATAGCGGCACGCCGAGACGTTTCCGCGCGTACAATCGCGTCGTCTTTAGCGAGGAACGCACGCCGAGTTTTTACGCCTCGTACGCTAACTATCGCGTTATTTCGCGAATGTATGCACGCGCAAACCTGTCCGTCTCACTATCCTCGTGAAAGGCTCCTTCTCCTCCCGCTGCTCTTACTCCTCCAGTTCCTCGCGGAGGAAGGCTTCCCAGCACGAAGGGCTACGTGAGCCAGCTGAGGGTGCTTTTATCCCTTCCTACTTGCCCTCAGCCCCCTTCGCGTTCGCGTGTCTTGTGTATTTTTGCTGCACTATCTGCCTACATCTTGACATTTATACCGCCGCCAACGCGCCGTCGCCGCGGCTTGCGTTAGTTGGACTTTTTGTTCGCGCACGGCGCAATTTTTAATACACCTGGCTCGCCGAGAGAGAGAGAGAGAGAATGAGAAAGAAAGAGGGAGGGGGGAGGGGGGGGAGAGTTCGGAAAAACTTCCTTGATACCTTCTATCAAAGTAAAATGTCAGAGTCAAGGAGTTGCCGTAATGAAGCGGGCTCGAAGACGCGGATAACACGCCGATACACGTTTTCTGCCCTTTTCGCCCGTCCCTCCGATCGGGAAGGCGGATTCACCGCGGATTAGCCCCGGTGTGCTCGTGATATAAAAAAGCCAGTGGAAAGCGACTTGGCAAAGTTGTTTGGAGGGCGAGCCGGGGACGCCCGCTGAGCTTTTCTCAGCGTTTCAAGAGTCTCGCGTGTAATAATGGTAGCAGAACGCCCGGGAACCGTGAGCTCGGCGACAACGCAACGCGGTTTCGTTTGAAACAAACAATTACACTAAGGCCATTCTAATAGCGAGCTCTCTCTGCGAATGCATGCGCGATCGTCTCTGTATGCATATCGAGATTTCAAGAGCAATGCGCAGGCCGCCCGGAAGCCAGTGCAAACTTTGCCTAAACCCCGGAGTTGTTAATGTATGCATACGAGGGGCATTTCGCGGCGACATACATACGCCGAGTACAAACCGCGAATTAACGATTGAACCCTTGCGACGGATAGCTTGCAAGAGACCGCGACGAATTAAAGCTCGTCCGTGACAACGAGAGGTGACGTAATCGATCTAAGCCGGATAATAATAGAAGAGGGTGTGCGATTGCTACACAGCTGATAATTGCGGTTAGTATTGTCCGGCGGTAAGTAAACTTTTCAATGTATAGCAAATGCGTTGATTTTTAAGAACGATCGAGCAACTTATGTCGTACCACTTAAAATGAATTGACCCAGTAGCAAATATAGAATTATATTAACGTTGTATCAATGTATCCTCTCCCCCCCTCCCCCCAAATAAACGTTTCAATGTAATAAATACATTGATATAAATATATTAGTAGTAGCAAATACATGATAATTAATATATAATATTAATTTCTCGTCCCTTCCACACGTGAGCTTTCCAATATAATAAATACATTCATGCGAACGTATTAATGGCGGTAAATATGTAATCGTATCAATAGTGTCTCGTGTCAAATAAGCCTTTTGACGATATAGATAAATCATACGATTCATATAAGAGTGAAACATACGTATATAAATATAATGAAAATCTCACGCACATTAAATTCTCTAACATACCCGGATTATCCGGATAATCCGCGTACGCGCGGCCGGATAATTCAGATACACCGTGAAAAAAACCAATGCGATTTACGTTTACGCGTGCACTATTTACCGAGATTGCGTAATTTCGCTCACCATGACGCGTCGAAATTCATCGACGTCCAAAGTTCATTGTCCCCCGATGAGACCAGTCGCGCTGCACGCAGCATCCAGATTCCTTCGGGTCTCCGGCAGTCTCCATCGCGTCCGCAGTCCCACGTCGATCGCACTTCACTCGCTTCACTACACTCGCGACGCGATCACTTTAACGGCGTTTCAACGGGGAGTTCGATAAATTCTAAAACTTCGAGAACGCGTGATGCTCGCTGATCGAGAATCGCGGTTGGAGGATTGCTAGTAAAAGCTGCGAGATAAAAACGCGAGTTAACGACAGATCGCGAAACCCGTCGACGATCAGTCGCCGCCCTTCGCTCACTTTGCCGCGACGCGATCACTTGAGCGGGGCTCGGCGATTCAACGGGAAGTGCGATAAATTGCCGCACCTGGAGGATTCCGCGCTCACCGTGATTCACAAACGGCTTTGAAAACCGTGCGGAAGCTGCAAAGCGAGGAGACAAAAGCCTCGGTAATTACGACAGATCATGAAGCTCGTCGAAGGCTCGGAGCGCGCAGTGTGATATTCTCACGTAAGATATCTTCGCGGTATCTTTGTGAAGTTCGCTTTCGGGATACGCGGTGTGTGTTCCTCAGTAAGTTTCATTCAACGTGATTCGCGATTCTTCAAAAGCGTAATCGCGAACGCAAGCGCAGGTGCGGAAAGCGAAAACGGGAAAACGCCGCGCCGTGAAAAATCGCGAAATGTAATCGCGAATGAGAGAACGATGGGTAAAATGGGCCGATTTTAGCCCCCGGACAAGTAAAAATGGTATGTTTTTTTTCAAACTTTTCAGGTTTTTAAACTGCTGAATCTGATTCTGAAATTTAAAACATTGTTATTTGTCGGAAAATTATTAAAATTAGCATACGAAGCTATTAAATATATAAGAAGCTATTATACATTTTTCCAACAAATCAGGATTTTTTATAGGTCAGAATCAGCAGTTCAAAAACTACAAAAAGAAGAATCATACCGTTTTCACTCCAGAGGCTAAAATCCCACTTTACCCATCGTCTTTTTCATCTCTTTATAGCGAATGCAATCGACGCGTAAACAAATAAGAAACTTTAATTTTCCATTTCGATCTCTCGGTCGAGCTCGTGCACGCGTATACTGGTCGCGATGTAAAAAAATTAGAAACAAGACATCGCGACACAATCGCGAAAACAACGCGTCCGAGTTATGGATAGTCTGTCTATTTATGAAACTTTATTTACGCGATGGCGTAAACACGCTTGTTTGAAAAATTTGCGAAACTGACAACCGTGACGATCACAGAATTTCTCAACGCGAGCGAAGTAATTGCGAATTCCGCTTGGGGCAATGGCGCAATTTCAATGCGCCTTACACACTATTCGAGATAATTAAGGGATCACACTGTGTGAATATTTCCGTTGAATAATTTTATCATGTACCAAATATAGTAAGATCTCAAATGTATCTACCAAATATGTAAACATTCGGAGAAAATAATATTTAAAGAAGGAATATATAATATTTGAAGAGAGAGGTAATAATATTTGAAGAAGAAGTATTTGAAGGAGCGATTCTCTAACCGTGTTAAACAACGTGTATCGTTTAACCTTTTCAGGAATATTCGCATATATATGTATACGTTCAGATACGTTCAATTCTTCTTTTTTAACTCAAATACTGTCAACGAAAATATAACGGACAGTATAAATACGCATAAATACGCATTCGTCAAAAAATTCCAACCGGAAAAAGAGAAATCTCGTCGGATGATCGACAGACGTCATATTTATATGTCACTGTAAAATTAAATAATTTTCTGCAGATTTTTATAAATTCATCCCTGAAGGGGTTAAACGCGACGCGCTAACGTGTATGCAAAACTCAGCATGCAAGAAGCTACAAGCAAAGTGAATCGCATTGGTTTTCACGAGATTCTATGAAAATCCATCACCTCAATATGGAAGATTAAAGAAAATCGATGAGCCTATTTTCGAACCGACTCTGATCGAACCGGATCCTCCGGTGCGGCAGTCGCATATCCACAGGAACAGCATCCTCCAGAGCCGTGTGGCCTCCCCTGCTTCATCAGATCTAAAACAAAGAAATGGATTTCTCGATTAATTGTATTGCTCGACAGATCAAAGAACACGAGCTTAGCGATTGTATGTTTCGTAATTTAAATCCGCTAATAACGGGAGCAGTAGCCACCTTGTGAATTTCAGTTGGCACTCACGATGATCTTCGACGCGACGATCTTACGCGCGAGGTATCGTAATTTGCCTAACGGTCGCGTTGATCAAACGGAACAAGCTATAAATAATGCGAGACGCGATCCGGCATGCTCGCCTGTGTGTCTCGGATGCACAATAAGACATACCTACGCGTGTATCGTTCACGTAACCTTCCGCGCACTTGGCAATGTCGGACGATCTTTGACGCGCCCGCTCACTGAGCGAGCTGTTATACGCGATGTTTTTCTTTCTATTATATACATCGAGATATCGATGTGATCCACCATTGAGTCATCCGTCATATGAATCATCGAGGTGGGACTATCGATCATCTCATGAGCACTCGCGCAATATGGCAGAGCTTTGAAATCTTGATAATGTTAACATAAAACTAAATTGAAAAATCAAGATCGTGAGACGCGAATTCGTTAAATTCAGAGCCACGAGATATCGCTCGTTCACAGGATGTGAGCGATATTTAAACTTTTCCACGCGGCCAAATTGGCCCGCACGTTCGTATCGAGAGAAAGCGTACTTCGTACCTTTCGAAAATAATTGCGTACCGCGAGTGCTCCACCAGTGCCGAGAGAGTATCGACTTCGATGAAGAACATTGTAGATACGTATGTACATAGTCGTTTGCGTAGGAGGGCATAAATATGCAAAATCCCCCCGTATTTACGGGGCATAAAATTTTATGCATTTTTCAACGTGGCGTAATGCCCAGCCGCGAACGGTACCTACAGGACGCGGTGTCTACGTCAGGTTGTAATACTGACCTACGCAACTGTTACGGGGCAGGCAAGCGTGGGGACGATCCTGAGTCGCATTATGCGCTTTTTCACTTATTCCCGGCAAGCATCGACAAGAGCCGGTGCTCGCAAAAGGAAAAAAAACAGAGAAAAGCCGGAAAGCGCAATCTTGAGTTTCGTTCGAGCGAGAGTAAACAGGCTGCGTAATTAGGCGAACGGGGGCGGATTAGCCGCGCGCATTCATCTCTTTCACGGGGGAGGTATTACGGATTCTCGCGTATCGGCGGCAGAGTGGCGCGAAATTACGCGCCCGAAATTATCCTAGAGAGCGCAGTGAGCATTCTCGAGGTCGATATGCGCACATTTTTCGCTTGCGTAGACCGCGACAGTGCGAGTGATATATTCTCTTCGCGAGATATCCCCCCGGGGCCCTTTTACTTCGTTTTCGCGAATTTTTAATGAAATCGAAGTCACGAAAACACGAATTTCCTCGCCTCGATTAACGAGCGCATCCGCGAAAGAGAATGTTTTTTTCGTTACTGCTGAATTCCAACCTTCTCCCCCCTTTTTATTGCCGCCATCGACCGCGAGTATAGGCGAGAATTTCCATATTTTTGTCGCGTGTGCGAATTAACCCTACAGAACATCGCACTCCCTGCGAGTCTCGATTTCCTGACACTGGATGTATTGCACCCAGTTACCTTCAACTATTAATAACTCCTCGAAAAGTGGATATTTGTTGAACATATTTGTACTCGATTTAAACGCTAGGATGTCAGGAATGCGCCTATATCGTTGTAATTACGATTAACGTTTAAAAACAAATTTTTTTTAAAGCCGGAATAGAAATCCCTTAATCATACGAAACGTTATTTACTCCGTAAAATTACAGTTTTTTATAAAGTCGTATTGCATAAAAGAGATAGTAATTTTTTAAAGATAAAGGATGTAACTTTTCAAAAAAAAAAATAGAGAACAATGATATGACGCAAGCATGGAGAATCATGGAAGGATAACAGGAGATTTTTCCCCCTCCAATTCTGACCCTTTATCTTTCACTATGTAGAAACGCACGGGCGTTTCAATAACAGCATGTATGTGGTACACTCAAGTGTGGTGCTCTAGGATTAATGTGAGATTACACGAGCCGCTTAAAGTCGTCGGTCCGCCGATATCGCCGTATTTCGATTATTTCGAGTATTTCGGCATTCCCGAATCGACGATGACAACGAACGTCCTCTCGCAGATGCATAGATACAGACGAAAAAGGGGAAAGGGGGAAAAATCTATGCATGATATGGTTTCGTCTTCGGTCGTTGAACTGAAATGTCCCGGCCGATACTTTGGTACAAAGGCGAAAAACAGTGAAGCGCGTGGTTTTTATGTGATTAAAATTCCGTATCGACCGACGTCGCGCATGTAAAAGCCGCAGAAGTGAGGTGAAAAAAGAGCGCGAGCAAGCGCGAAACGTGTGCATTATTTCGGACAATATTTCTCGCGTCAAATTTACATGTCACATGCCGCGCAGTGTTTTAAAAAGACTCGCGGATATGAAACGCTTAACGTTATCTTGAAAATATGATCTCCACCTTTCCTTATCTCCCCCTCTCTCTCTTCTCTCTCATGTTTACTTTCAATTTGTTTGCATTTCTTTTTTCATTGTTTCTATATTGAAGTTCAGATAATATTCTTTGTGTTTACTTTCTTTTCTGAAACACTCTTAAGAAGCTTTGTCCCAGAATGTCAATAAAAGCATCTCTTTCTTCCCTCTGTCTCTCCATCTCTTTCACTTCTATTCTTCCGAACGCTTCTCCGACATGCGTCTGTTGAATCTCACGATTTTTAACACCGCAGCCGCAAATAACAATTATCACTGTCATCAGTGTCTCGTAACACGACGTTCACATCTGTTTATCGCGATTGAAAACAGTACATTTCGCAGCACATGTGTGCGCACAGTTCTGCGGTAAAGACACGTGAACCGCGCCTTAATGTGCGTGTCGTGAGAACCGCGAATTTAATTAAATACCTTCTTAACGCGCATGGATGCGCCGGGAGAGATCTCGAGGACTCGGGGAAAACCGCCCTTCGAAGCACCGGTGTTGCGTGTTGGCGCAGGTTAGTAATGCTCCCTTATTAAACATGTAGCAGACCGCAGCGTGTGCGCTCGACCTTCGTCAATATGAAGCCCATGCGAGAGAATGCGTTTGTTCTTTTAACCGTGGAGCGCACCTGCGGATTGGCGGGGAAGCCGCGGTGGAAATGGAACGCGCTTGTCGCTCGCGAGAGAGGAAACTTGCTTCTCTTCCTCCCCGTTCTTCTTCGCTCTCTTTCTCTCGAGCAGACTCGATCGAGCTGGCATTTCTCGTGAACGATCTCGCAAGGATCTGAGAACAATGTTCGAATTGTCATTATCTAAACATTATTTTCAATTTATAAGGACGTCAATAAAAATTATTATCACCATTATAAAGAACATCCGTTAGACGTTTTAAATAATGACAAAAGGAGGGGGGCAAATAAACCAAGATTATCTGGAACGTATGCCGCGAACCAATCCAACCCGTTATCGATCGTAGCGGGGATAAATTCGTCGAGGCGGGAGTCTTCCTGCGAGCACGTCGATATTTCATTTCCGATCGCGGCAATTACATCGTAAGGCACGTTCCCGATTTTCTCGTTCTTTTCGCGCCCCTCCCCCCCTTGAATCCCTCCCTCCCCGCAAATTGATACCAGTCACGCGGATCCGCGATAAATTATATCACATCAGTCCGATGGCCTGCCTCATTTACTTGAGCGTTCGGCCGTATGAGACGTCGTTCTGGTCGAAATTTCGCGAGACTGGCTCGTTGCCATGACTCGATCAAAGTTTCGGACGGAAGGGAGCGCAATAATAGGCGGATCCGCGAGAACGTCTCGCGAAGGAACATGAAACAATTCGGGATATTCACGCGCTGTCGCCCGTCCGAGCGGTCGCGTTCCGCCTCAATTAATAAGCGCTGAATTAGCAAGCCGCATACAAACACGCGTAATTAGTGATCGGTGACGTGGACAGTGCGCAAACACGACACGCGGACGATTTCGATCATTAGCTGTCCCGCAATTTTGTAATGATTCATAATGAAAAGCGCGCGGCTATTCGGACTTCTCGAGCGCTCGCGCCGCGGAGAAAATGCTCCATAAATCATTGCGCGTGGAGGAACGTCGCGAACTGCAAATATCCGAACTGCAGAAACACGCTAAAAAATCCATTTCGACTCTCCGCGCAATTTTACGCGGGAAACATCGCGAAGACGGTTGTGTATTTGCAAAGCAACGCGCCAGTATTGTAAAACATGCTTGTTTTTGCATGACGCAGTGCAATTTCACCTGGCCCGTTCATCTCGACCCGACGACTCGGAAAACAGTCGTGGATGCAGAGGAATCGCGTATATACACACTGCGTCATGTACGTTTTACCATTATGACTAGAGTTACTTGTTGCGATTTTCAACATGTGAACATAAAATCGAAAATCGTGTGAAATTCTCGATCTAGGAGATGGTTCAGCATATATAACGCCGACCGTATGTATAGCAAGTCACAGCAAGATCGCAGCACTTTTTTTTCGATGAGTTTCGCAACGTATCTCGTATCCGATAGGAAAATGTATCTCCTGAGGATAACTAAAAAACCAATTCTACTATCGGACACGGGATACGTTCCGAGACTTATAAAAAAAAAAAACGAATGCTGTAACCTCTTCGCGACTGACCATACATTCGTGCGTCGTATGTTACATTCGAGCGCGATCCAAATGTTAAATATAGAGAGTTGCGGGCGCATGTGTGCTAATAAAGTGAGAACTATCTCTCGAACGTATATCGATAATCAATCGATAATAAGCGAGACGCAGTTGCATGTTGCTCACACTGCTTTCCTGTTGCACTTTCCCGTCTGGCTTCCTATTATTACACAGCGGGGGAGCACCTGATACTTGTTCGACTTGCCCGCCTAGTTCGTCGGGAGGGATTGTAGGTCAGTAATAAGACCGTTCTCCCTCTCTTCTCCTCTCTAGGAGTACCAGCGTGTGCTTGTTCCTAAGTAAATGCACCTTCAGGCCGCGAGTTTACGCGCCGCTACTCCGCGTCATCGTTCCCCGCGACTTCCGAGCCGACAATTAACGGTTTGAACGGAGGACACAGAGCGACGAAGAGCGTCTCGCGCGATAAGTCACGACGGTTACTGTCGCTGTGAGCTGCACCGGAGACCAGAACGCAATTTTCCACGCGGTGGCGATTCGTGGGAGAATTTCGTTTGGAGAAAATGAATTCGTAGCTGACCGGGTAGTAAAGTCTTCTTACAGTTCGGACTTGGAAATCATGTTTCCACGGCCTCTCATAAATCCTTCCTGCGATTGCTTTTTTCTTTCCTTTCTCTCTCTCTCTCTCTCTCTCACTCACGCCGGGCTCTTGACTTTACTTTCAAGAACGAGCTTACCGAGCTGAGTGAAAAATCCATCAGATCGCGACGTATGTATAAAATTAAGTCGGAAACCACCACGTCTATCTCGCTGTAATATATCGGCCAAAACGTGCATATTCACGAACGGATCGCATCGTCTCCTCGTCCCGATAGCCGCACATTCGACCCCGCGGCTCCGGCCGATATCGGCCACGAATGTTCTTGATGCGCATCACCAGCGGGCAACTATGGAGAATATCTCCGCCGCATTCGCAGATAGACACGAGATACTTGAAGCCTCGTGCAAATAAGGCAGATGCATGCGGGTATCCGCATGCGAGCGCACTTGACTCTAAATGTTACCCGCTTTCACGTACGTGCGTGTGTGAGTGTGGCCGAATTTATAGCGGGCTTCGGCTTCGGCGATGGCGTCGATGCAGAAACGGAATATCGGTTCCCAAGCGTGTACACGGGAATGCCGAATACAAATGCGGCCAGCAGATTATATTATATCCGGTCGACCGATCAGTGATCCGTAATTATCTCGGCAGGAGCGCGCGTCGAAATATCAGAATAACAGAGACGAAAGTACCGGGGCCGAAGGTACTCGATACGCTAATTGGAATACGATTGGACGCTGAAACGATAAATGTCATGCAATAAAGAGACCGTTTTTCTCAGAGGACAACGGGGTCGCGTGGACTTATCGTTAACACGTCGCGTTTACCTTCGTCTATCGTGCAAAAACTTAATTCATAATTGAATTATCAAAAATATGATAAATAAAAAATAAATAATAACTACAATTAATAATTAAAATACATATAAAATTTAACGTAACTGTAATTTTAGTAAAATCAACTACTCATCTCGCGACAAACAACGTATTGGGAGGCGGTTGGTACATTCGAATTTCTGAGGGCAATCGCTGGTCAATTTTGCGCGTCGAAGGAATTAATTATCGCGGCGATAGTTTCGTTGTTTACGCGGCGGACGGTTTTATCGGAAAGCCATTTGTCACGGGGCTGTTTGTAAAAATAGAAAAGGAACATTATCACGCGCCAAACGGATACAAGATACGAATTCGCGCGGCGTTATATATCATGAGACTCCCACGATAAATGGCAAAGAAAATCTTTCACGGTTCGTGATGACGTATCGAAAAATAATTCTCACTGCCGGGTACTTTTCAGATACGCATATATATATATACACACGCATATATACACACGCATACAAGCGACGTAAGCATGAATGGAGCAAATAATATCGACTTTGCGTCAGTGGAGATTGAATAGAGCGCGGCTCGTAAGACATTCGACGCGATTAACATTTCGCCGTGAAGCGTATGCAAATGTTTCCAATGGAAAATGAATATTCATGGCGGGACGTCAGAAAATAATCAGAAAATAAAGCGAGCCGGAACCTACCGGCTTTCCGTGTAATTAATCTTTAACCGTGCCGCGCGCGAAGTTTCAATGATGCAAGCGGCAATGTACACTGTGACAAATCACGCGGTTAAATTCGAAAGTAAACCGTCTCGTTCGTCGAGCGCGCGTTTATTTTTCATGCCAGCATTGCCGGTCCTCCTCCTCCTCGCCGCCGTTGCGGCATATGTGCGACTTCCGTTCGAAATAAAACGGCTACTTGCATCTAAATCGCATTTAAATTCTTACAGGGAAACGCTCGAAAAGTGTCCTCCGGCGATTTTCGCGAATTTCGAATACGTTGCGCGCCGGCTGACAATAAGAGACACGTATTCCCTTATTTGCGCTTCGTTTCTCGTTCGAAACAACTCCTCCCTCCCTCGAAACCTTCGGTAATTTCCAATAATAATCCGTACGCGGTAATCATCGCTAATTAAGTTTTGTTTATTTACTGCTGATTAATCACACTGCTATTCCGCTCGCTCGCGCAAATAGATATTACGTAACGTAAATACTTTACCCTTATTTGTTTAATACATACTCCAATATTCTACGACCCCCTTTTAACACACTGTAAAAAAAAATTGGTCGGGGCAATCCTGAATCGGATTAAGCGAACTCAATTTTGGAACTGTGCATGGCAAAATTAATTAAATAAATAAATTAATTAATTAATTGCTTTAATTCTTTCGGCATAACTTGGATATTTTTGTTACCTTCGTTTAGGTCAAATAAACACAAAATTCTGCGTAAAATAAGTTATTATAACAGCTTTGGCTATTTCGCAAAGTCAAAACAATGATCAAATGAACATGACTCGTATTTACGCAATTTGCTCAACTCAGAGACTTAGTTCGTTTTACTCGATCATTTTTCTTTTTCAACGTAAGGGAACATTTCGTCAAGCGAATACGCGCAATTTTTACGACGTCGTACGAGCACATGCCGCGTGTAAGCACCTTGCAAATACCACTTGAGCCCATGAAAGCGCGCGTTTGGCCCTCTCAGCCAAAAATATGCTACTGAATTAATTGCATCGAGCATATCCAAAGACTCTCTGAAGTTATGTACTGAGATATGCGTTTCGGAAAGATGGATCGTTGATATTACGCCCGTTACTAACTAAATTGCGGTCTGATCCGCTCACTAATACCGTAGTGATCTACTACAGTGAGCGAATAGTACGCTGGCCAGGGGATAACTTGAGGGTTCTCTCGTACGTGATTCGTTTAATAGGAGATTTTCGGCCGGGCGGGTTGAACATGAGCTTATAAACGTTCGAGTGGCCACAAGGTATTCGCACGCAATACCCATCTACGTGCATATCGCAAAAATTACGTTATCAGCTAAGCCACCCTATCAAAGTGGGATTTCCCATCGAAGTGGCTTGGATCGCAGTGACGCGCATTAAACAAATAAGGGTGAGGCGCTTAAGTTAATATGCATGCACGCGGGAGAGCGAAATACCGGTGTAATTAATAACGATAAATAATGGAAGCGTAATTAGCGATAATTACTGTATATGGATTATTACTGGAAGTCATCGATACGCAAGAAATCCGGCCGGTATCCGCTGCGCTAATTGGGGAAAATTACTGAAATTCTTGCATGAAAAAATTGCTCGAAGATATCTGTTGTGGGATCAGGGCCGGTGTGTAACTTGAAATTTATTATCGTTCTTTCACCGTACACCGTCCGATACGAGATGTAAAGTAAGCCGTAGCCGCGCGCATGCAGCGCATACCCGTGGCGTATAGCTCACACAGTGCGCATTTGCCAATAATACGACTGGAGAGAGCAACGTTATTACCCACGGTTGAGTTGACAATAAAATTCTCTGTAATTTTTGTTCTCTCTTGAAAGTTTTACATTTCGCAAAAATATTAACGGGAGGTCGGGGTATTTAAAAAAGAGTATGACATTAAAAATATCCGAATGCGCAGATAAAGAGCTTTAACATCGACACAGACGTAAAACTCGATACACCACCATAAAGCTTGTCTGCAACATTTTTCACATACTTTCGGGAACATTTGATCTGATCTTTTGTCGAATTATCTTCGAAGGGACTTGTTTCAAGCCCTAAACGATCTTTCTTATTCACAGCTGGTATGCAACGTATCCAAGTTTCGTAAAAATTGTTGAGGGACATTTTTAAACATATTTTTGTCAGATGCGAAACCACAAATTTGCAAAGCGGAATGTTAAGTGGAACACTAGAATTCTGAGGTAAAGGGGAACGATGGATCGGACGAGAGCCGGAATCGCTGATCGTCACATCGCGAACGAGTCGTCAAAGAATTTTTTCTGCATCTCTCGCCGTCGCGCCACGCAATTTTAGGATCGCGGGCGCTCCGTGAAATCGCTGGCGCAGTAACTTTCGAACGGCCGCTTGGAATCACAAATTTCGAGAGAGGCTTGCAGAGCGCGGCTTAAATCCGTCGTCTGCGCCATTGTCGAATCTCAAACCTTTTCAAATTTCCTGATCTCGCTTTCTCTTTAAAGGGCTTTTTCCCCCTCCGTAATGTCATCGGCTATTCGTGTACAATTGAAAAGGAAAAACTGACGATTCAATATTGAAAATGAAAACGCTAAAAGCCCGGACGAAGTTTCTTTGTACAAATACCCATCACGTTTAATTATAACAATTTTTCCATGAGTTGCGATTCATAAAGAATTCAATTGCCTTGCACAAATTGGAAAAGTGGATTTTAATTAAATTCTGTTAAATAAAATATCGCTGAACGTCATTAACTTTAAACATGCATGGAAAAAAGCAGCTTTCGTTGCTTTATCGTGTCGTATCGACGATGCAATATCTCGATTGGCTTTCCCCTGACGACGCATTCGCGTAGGAGATCTTTCCCGTTTCCTAAACGTCCCGTTCTCTTCGTCTCTTCGGAATAATCGATTTACTTAGGCGGAAAGCCCCGTATTTAATTCGAAGTTATTTTGCTTTTACGAGCGCAAAGGAGGATTCATAAAGCCAATAAAACTTTTGTCGTGGAGGAATCCTCTGTAAGTGGTACCGTAGGAAAGTTTGCCGAGCGTAAGGAAATCTCGGTCGCGCAAAATCAATGCCTGTTCGCGGACTCACCCGTCAGAAAGGGAGTGAAAGAGAGAGAAAGAGAAATGTATATCTTATCAGTGCGAATATCTTTGATTCCCGGCTACGTGGGTGGAAAATTGAATTACGTAAAATCTCTTACGCTATATATTTCGCGCGACGATCACCCGTAAGATCAATATCGGCGTTCTTACGTCGTTTCACGATTATATATTAACGTCTTACGAGGACGATAACGATAGTATCAGTGTGAATGCCTAACGTCGTGTGTTGATCTCCCTATGTAATTTCTGCCTTAATTTACTCCCTTCCATTTAGCGGAGTAGTTGACTAACTTTCAAAGATAGCTGCTTACTCGTTTCGAGATTACACACGCTATACGCGCTCGACACAAGAACTGGTATCATTAATGCGATGGCCCCCTTCGGTATTGATGTCAGTTATCCGACATTAAAGTGTAATCGTTTTTCTTGTTGTGTACACGTCCATCGTTTTAAAAACCGCTCTTAGACCGTGTACAACATAGTTCATATGTAAATGTCCCGGGTTGCTTTTGGATTTACTTCGGTACCAAAGTACGTTCGCACAGATGCTCCATGTTCTTGTTTTGGTTAATTACATTACGATGTAATTATATCACGAAACTGTACAGATTGCAGGATACTTTGTAGCATAAAAACACAGAAGAAAAAATGTCGCTTTCACCGTTGTTTGGTCAATCGAAACAATTAGTTGTCTGAAAAGTTTTAACGTCGAAAAGTTCTGAAAAGTTACCGAACCCGCCCCGGTCTCTCTTACGTACATTTGTCACGTAATTATCAACTATGCTTTCACATAGTTCGGCATTACGTTGTGTGAATGAAGTCCAACAAGCTGTAGAACTTCCATCTCGGGCGAACAACGCGGCTCATTTTCCGCTGATTAATCAAACGCAATACACAGATCTATGTGTAAACGCGCGCTAACATACACACAAACGCAGACTTTAGTTATGCAATTCTTACGTAACTCCCGACTTCGTCGAGTAAATGGAGTTCAACTGGCCGCATAACTTCAATTTCAGGCGGACTACGCGGACAACGCGGCTCATTCTCCGCTAATTAATCAACTTCATCGACTTAAGCAGTTTATAATTACTAACAACTGCTTTCTCTCGCGCCTCTTCTCCCTCTCTTCTCACTCTCTCTGTTTCTCTCTTCCCCTCTCGGAAGCCGTCTGAATTATCCCCCGAACTTCTTCGCGTAATTATAATACAAGTTTACGAGGGGGGGTGATTCCGATCTCGATCAATCACCGCGTGAAATCAATCCAGCGGGAGCGACATCGATTTGCTTAATTATCCTCACCTTGATCTATCTTTCCTCGTAAAGTGAGATACGCCTAACTGAAACAGCACTCTCGGCGCGGGCGTATTTTACCACCTAATATCTGGCGCGAAGCCCATCTATATTAATCTTTAGGAGTTCTCCCCGTTGTCGTAACAGCGCCGTAAACCGGTAGCGCGCTCACGCTAACCAGTTAACGCTAACTTGTAAATTATAGCGGATCCTCCTCCAATCTTTAACCGATATACCGGGGCTTCGCCGCTAACATCGGCAGGAGATACAAACAGTAGCTAGGCACTCTCTCTCTCTCTCTCTCTCTCTCTCTCACTGTATCTATGGTGAGGAGAGGGTGGCCAAAGGGAGATAGGCAATTGTATTATTCAACACTTATACCGACTCACAGCCGAACACGAGAGAGGCAAATATAGTGCCGGCCGGTGCCGGAGAGAACGGGTACTACGCTGGGAAGTGTGGCGCCTGGAATATCGGTATCGAGTTCCTCGATCGTCCCTCTACTCCCCGGAGACAAGAGCAGAGCTCGACATTATAACCGCGCCTTGATGCTCGTGTAATTTCATTTCGCGCCAGGTCTAATCTAATGGTTAGGAAGTAGCACCGGAGATCTTTTCGGCCAAGGATAGTGGAGGGTCGCGCAACAGCGGGCCGCTACGTGCGTAATCGCGCGACATTAGGCAGGAGATTTCATCCCGCCGTTTCCAGCATTTTTAACGGCGGGACGCAATTAGGCAGAGGCGCTTCCTGGGACAAAAATCCCGTAACGGGAAACTTTCATGTGAAAATCGGAGAAGCAGGAGGCTTGGTTTTCGCCCCCTCTGAATTTCATTCACAAAGCAACATTCTATTATTGTCTAAAAAAATCAGCTTTATAAACCCTTCCCTTTCGCGGCGCAGTATTTTTCTCTCCCGAGTAATCGCCCGCACGTGAGACGATCTACGTCACGCACGGTAGAATCCGCCAAGTATTTCGGCGCCGTAAATCCGGCAGATTAATGCGGTAATGAATACCGATTGAATATTGATCTGTTAACAGCGCAAACTTCCGTGACATTTATAGAATACGCCGCCCCGATGCAGCGGCTCGAATGCATTATTCAGGATGCGTGCATATAATGCGCCTAAATGTAACGCATGGTATTACACAGTCGACTGACATAGTTGTTCCAATGCGCGCATGAGACGGAAATGAATATTTAGACGCGTTGACGGCGCACCGAGAAGCCGAAGCGCGCCGCTGTCGGAGTTAATAGAATTTTTTTTCGCGGTAAGCGCATTACCTTCGACTCCCCCGATTCATCCGTGTATCCCCGCCATAAATCGAGGAATCGAATCGTGAGTTTTACAGGCCGTTGTGTCCCTACGTGCATAATAAAAAACGCCGACAGATGAGAGTTCGCCGGGATATGCGCGCCGCGGTGTGGAATTGGGAACGGGATTTATGCCAGGTGGATCTTGTTTTACAATCGTCAGCGACGTGAGATGTGAAAACAGCGTGTAACCGTGTCCGCACTTGCTTTCCCGCCGCGGATCTTCGAAGTCTGACGCGTATCCAACCTGAAACAAAAAAAAGATGTGCGTTATTACATATCCGTTCCCCGCAGACTTGACTGCCGTTTCTACAAATATGTTTTCGCGGTAATAACAACGAAATATGTAATATCAGAATTGTCATGTCCTTTTATACAAATGCTACATTATCGAGTTAATTAGAATTCTTAATCATTTCTTTATCGATCTTTTTTTGACGTTTTTGTACAGAGGAAAAGGTTTCTTTGGATTTAGTACACATATTTGTTTGACTTGGATTTGTTTAATATAAACAACATAATTTAATATCAAATATTATTTTGTTTGAATAAAAATTGTCCCCTAGAATAAACCACGTTGTTTCATAGAAAAAACAGTTATTTCAGATCAAATATTTCGTTTTCAATAAAAATGTTTATTTTATTATATATTGAATATTGTTCCACTGAAATAAAACAAAGTTCTTTGATATTTTTCTAACGTAATATTACTTCCTTCCTATAATTTATTGCTTGAAATAACCAATGCAATGTTTAAATGAAAGTACAAAAGAAATATGTTATTTGATGTAAAGATATTTATTGTTTGACAAACCAAACTGCTTGTTGACAAACATCGTCAGACATTCATTTGTTTGCTCTATTTCAAAAGATAAATTTATTTCAAATAAAGAAATTTTATTAAATCTAAAGAAATTTTTTTCTCTGCGCACGAACGCTGTCACGTGAAAGTGACTTTATTCATTTCGTTAATGCGATTATCTCCTTAAAAAAAAAAACATTTACTATTGATAATACAAGTCTATAATTAATTATAATATTATAAGAACCGTATAAAAGTATATATTTAAAGATTTTCAGTAGAAGGAAGACGTTCGTTTCTTCGGACGCGATCTAAGCTCTCGAAACTCGCTGGCAGCGGGCGAGAATCCGTTCACAAAGCGCCGAGATTTATGCGCGGTAAGGAGATCAAATGAAGCGGCAATTATCCGTGACAGTTGTACCTTCCGACAGTCGAGAGCGCGACAATGCGGGGTCGTAACGGATCGTTATCCGAAAGTGCGTTACTCATTTTCCGCCACGTCGGGCGGAGTTCCCGGGCGTGCTCGAAGGATAAACGGTGAGAAAGCGGCGGTGGCGATATTTCAAGTTCGTCGGGAGCCGCCGTGGCGAGCCAAAAACACTCTTTATCCTCATTCGGCGACGCTCTATCGATTAATCCACCTGCTCCGATAGTTCCCGCTTCGCTCATACTTACCACTCTATCCCTACGTCGATCCTTTCTCCCTCGAGCATCCTTTACGAGTGGCGGCGAGAAACGAAAACATGCGCACCCCTCGCCTCCTCTCGCGCGCGTGTACATGTACACGCACACACGGATCTACCCACCCCTCGCGACGACCGCTCGCTCGATAGGGGGTGCCACGCTCCCCAGTCGTTCTCTCTATCCTTTTCGTCTAGCCAGCGTCCGGCCAACTCGCCCTACGCTTCTATTTCCTGGCGTCCGTCATCTTCGTCGTCCTTCGACGTCCATATCTTTTTCCACTCTCGCTCCCTCACCGCGTTCGCACCTGGATCGTTCGAGGCTGTCACATACGCTCTCTCCCTGATGCCGCTCTTCCCCTGATTTCCTACCACCTTCCGGCTCGATTTCTCTCTCCCTCGTTTCCCTGCGCGCGTGAATCTATCCTCTCCTGTTCCCAGTCTCGCTCTCTTCTTCGTCCGTCCCCACTCGGACCTCCGCATCCCCTCTCCGCGCGCGATCCGCCCTCTCGCTGTGGAAGCTGCCTCTGTGCGTTGATCCCCTCTGGAATTCTTGCTCCGTATTTATCCCTCCTGCTTTCCTGCGGCTTGGCCACGTCGCTACCTCGCTCGTTTACTTTGACCTCCGCTTTGCCTCTCCTCCCTTTACTCTCTTACTTTCTTTCCCTCTCGCCTGATACCCGACCTCTCATTTTCCTCCAACTTTCTCCAACTTTTACGTGTCTCCCTACGCATTCGTGTCGTCGTTTCCTCGGTAGGAATGTTCTCCTTTCCGGTTCGACGACACCTCGCAGACTCCCTCGACCTCTGCGCTGGCGTGCGTACCCCCCCCCCCCCCCCCCCCCCCCCNCTACGCACATTCTCTCTCCTTGATTCCGGCATCACCCCTTCACGCACCTTCTCCAGCATCCGCTGCCCTCCTCCGCGCCGTCGTCCCTCTCCCCTCTTCACCCGGCCAATAATGTTCTCTCTCCCCGACGGTGCCCCCTCCATCGGCCCTCGTGGTATCCCTCTTTCTCTATCACACCCCATGGCAGTCGCTCGCCAGCCACCCCTATCTACGCTCTCTACGTTCCAGGCGCCGTCGCCGTGGAACGAAGCGACGCTCAGTCGGCACCGCGATCCACCCGCGACCACCTCGTCGTCGGACGATCGAGCTCTCGTCGCGCCATTAGTACGGCCGGGACCTCTCACCTCGTGGCCGCGCTGCCAGCCTGCTCCCGGAGGATCGTTCCCAGAGCGAGTCGGAGAGTCAACCCGCCGATCCACAGGCCTCCTCGTCGTCCCGCGCTTGGAAACGGTTCGTTCGTTACACTCCCTCTTTAGCCTCTCGCGTGTGTGTAGAGAAGGCCGGATGATGCATGGGGGCCACACCGCGGAGTCGGCCGGGTCTCGCGATCGATTCACGGCAGGATGCTCGATTACGCTCAGGACGCTGGATCACGGAGACGCCGGAGTTGGTAATTGGGTCGGCGTCATTAGTCTCGCGGTATCCCAGGAATCCCTAGGTCACGCCGGGTCATCCGCTCCGAGAATGCCCGTGGCTTGATGGGTTGCTCCCCCCCTTTCACAGGGTTTCTCGCATCAGGTCCGCTGCTCCCGATGGCGGATTTTTCTCCGTAGACTCGTCGAAGGGAGCTCTCGGACCCGGCGGCGATGCGTTCCAAGCAGGTTTGTCCGCCGTAGCGGCCTGACGACGACCGAGTCGTCGTCGTCCATGAGCGTTTCGTCCTTCGCTAAATTGGCCGATATCTCTTAGCCGCAAGTAACTCTCTCGCTCTCGACGAATTGGGACGCAGCTCACGTGCAATAATTCAAATATCCTGCCGGGGGAGCTGTCGGGAGAAGATGAAATGCTTAGAGCGTTTATGCAGCTGGTTTTCTCCGTTCTCCCCGTGAACGCATCCTCGATACACCGGTTGAAAATGATTTCACAGAGCCGTCTGACGAGTTTCACGGGACCGCATCGAAATGTCAATGGCGGCTCCGCGAGCGATACACGCCTCCGAGGGAGACGATCGGAGATCCGAGAATGAATTTTAACGATTCGGGCGTAACGCACGAACAGTCTTAATTCCGCATTTTTAGATTGTATTTCCGCGCGTACATACGGCGACAACAAGACGGTTATCGCCGTCTAGACGACAGATACATATTCATCTAGAATGATATATACGTATACCGTATATGGGACCGCCATATGGGCCGCTCGACCGCATTGTGTTATGACGCGCTGAGAAATCCGACGATCGCCCTGTGACTCGCCAAGTATCTATTTGATAAGCAGAGCTTACGTCGGGGTGACTGGAGCGTCAGCCAGATATAGATCACCTCGTCCTGATCCCGAATCTGGACCGGTGAAATATACGCGCGCACGTTCATACTCACGTCTCGCCCTCGGCATTTTCTCTCGGTGAAGCGCACTTCGTGTTTAATTTACACACCAGTCCCTCAAATAAAGTGGATCGCGAGAGCATACAAACGAGGCCGAGAAGAGGCGAGAACCGACAAGACCACATTTTTCGAGTACTTACGTGCTCGTGTTTACGCAGCCCCGCTAAAAAAGGAGTCCACTTGTTCGCACTTTGCCCCCGAGGGAGCAAGAACGCGAATTAATATTTCACTTCCGGCTATATAGAATAGAACTTCATCATACGTGCACTGCAACACGCGCTCTCTGTCGTTTGAACACCGCGGAATTTATTTTAGCGAGCACTCTCGCCGGCTTTTCCGCTGATGTTATGCCCGAAGATTCGCGAATCCAATCTCCTCGTTTGCCATTGAAAGCGGACGTATAAATATCGCGGAATAGCAAAAGCTACGAGAGAAATATCATGCGTTATAAAAATACTCGAAGCGCAAAGAAAGTTGGTGTTTCGAGTCGGCGGATCCTCGAGCCGCTAATTCGAGAATAGCCCTTGAAATATATATGAAACATGCCGCGCCACAAGGCCGGCGTTTAAAGTAGCACGAAAGAGGCGAACTTGCCATTGCGAGATGCATAAATACATAAAATGGCAAGACTCTGTTCAATTTTAGCCCTTTCAAAGCGCATTTCATTTTGCAGATTTTCCCTCGAAGCTTACAACGAAGTATATCAGCGATGTCTGTGATGAATGGCCGGCTTGCCCTCGTCATACGGAACGCTCATCTTTCATAACCCATAACTGATACTCGCATTATACTCGAGAAAGCCGAGCAGCATCGGTGAACCTTAAGAATGTGTCGCTTCGCGGCCGAGAGAAGGAAGCTGCATGAAAATGATCGCTACCGTGACAAATGACAATGGCTCTAATTTACAGATGCGCTTTATGTTTCCGCGGCTGACTAAAGGGCACGCGATTCGAGCTACCTTGGCGAAAGCACAATGGCAGTTTCCATCGCTAAAGCGTCCGACTGAGCCACGCGTGTTAGTACCACTGTGATGTATGCGCCGGGGCTCTCTGTGTCTGGCCGGGAACGGCACGATCTACTTGGCGCACAATTGCCGGCCTCTTGTCCGACCAAATAGTGGGACGATCTACTTGGCGCAAATGCGCTTCATTCCTCATCCGATCGAGATGAATTGATCTATTTGGCGCGGCCTTGACTCCCACTTTTCCCGATACCGAAGGTTATATAGAAAAAGGGGAAGGGAGGAAGATCTACTTAAAGTGATTTTGGCACCGCTTCTCGTTATCCTTCGCGTTGGAGAATCGCGCTCATGAGAGAGAGAGAGGGAGGATTATTTATTCGGTGTTTTGGAATAGAAAATTCCTCTCGAGCGGAAAGAGAGAAAACGGAACACCAATTTCCGCATTTTCTCACATACGTGTCACATATACTCGCTCGTAATTAAACAGTCGGACATGCGGCATCTGCTTTTTAGCAGAATACTTTGGCGAATTACATGGCAGGGCGAGAAACAAAGAAAATTCGTAACCACGATTTCGCGCAATTTCGGGGGAAAACTCGAGTTTTGCGGACGTTTTATTCTAGTCGAGATTTGCGATCGATCAATTAAATATCGTTGTTTTACGAGATCAATTAGATGATACTGTTAGGTGAGCGAGAACACGTTGGAGATTGTCGTATCACGATCTCGTGTAATTCCAGCTAAAGCCCCAGATATCGCGGTGGTTTCGTCCCCGAAATTTCACAATCGATCGATTATACATCGTTGTTTTACGAGACCATTTAGGTCGTCGTTGAACATGCGAGAATGCGGACGAATGTCGGCACATATTAGAGATCTTTGTAATCAGTATTTCGCGTAATTCCTACCAAATTCCGGTTGTCGGGGTCGCACCGTCCTCGAAATTTTCAATCGATCGATTAAATGCTCTCTGAATCGACACTGAAATATAAAATCTGTTATTTTAATACTTATACATGAATATCGACCCGATACAGAGTATTTATGCATATCGAGATAACATATAAACACAATATGTTAAATTAGCACACGGATATGGTAAGAACTTGACACAAAAATTTTAACAAGGACCGATTTTGACACAAGTACAAGATGTTTTATACTAACGACCGGTTAGTAGAAGTAATAATAGTATAGTAATAAGAAGTAATAATAGAAGTATTACACCTATGTAGTACTAGCGCTTCCCGAGATGTTATTTCGCTTACGTAATATGTGACAGGCAGTGTATTAAACGCTCATCGTTGTTTCACGAAAGCAATCAAAACGTTATTAAAACGAGCGAGGACGAGTAAGTCGGGATGTTAGGGATCGTCGGAAGACTCGCAGAGGGAGGCGAGTCCGGCCGGCTGCTTAACGAGGGTGTAGAACACGAATAACGATGGATGGACGGACGGATGGGCGGATGGACGGACAGGGAGCTCGAGGGTAATCGTGTTTCCGACGAATTTCCGACTCGGTCGATCGACTCATCGGCATCGGGCGACGATACGCCTGTAATTTGAGTATATGTAACGGAGCCTATGTGCACGGCGGCCAACGAGACGCGGTCGTCGGTCTGTCTGGAGCCCGGGCGAAGAAAGAGAGACAATGGCTGGGGTTTCTGAATTTCCATCGATCTGCCCAAATCCGTGGGCTCGGCCTTAGAGCGGGCGGCCGTGTACAGCGACGCCGCGTTGTATTTTTAGTCCTACGTCGGCTCGATATAGTCCGCCGCTCCCGGTGCACCCTTAAAAATAAACGAACCGCGATTTCGCGAAAAAATAAAGCTCGACAGGGCGTGGCTGCGTCGCGCGTCCGGCGAGAGTGATTGCTCGAAATGAATGCGCGAGTTATTTCGGACCGTCTGATTGATTAGCCGACCGAATGCTCACGTCCCGCATCCTCCACCGTCTCGAGTGTGCTTATTTACCCCCGCGGCTAATGTTTTTCGCGTGCACTCTCACGTGCCCGCTACTTCTCAGCCGAAAGCGTCTCCTCGCGTCGCAGCGACTCGTTCCAATTGCGGGAAATTGCTACGCCTTCGGATAACTTTTTACGCGGGCGCCGGAGTTTGATAATTAATTTCCGCACGAGTGCTCGCTCGCTCGCTCGCTCGCGCGGATGAGAACGCACACCGGGGAGAATTAATATCGGTTTTTAACTTTGTTAGCAACTTTCGTTTCGTGAAAGGGCCACATCTCGTGGTGGCTCGGTAAACTTGGCGATACAACGCCGGCGCACTTTTTCCTTTAATTGTATATCGCGCATTTACACGGCGCCTGCAATCTGTCGGCGGTGACCGTTGCGTCGCGAGAAGCGATTATTCAGTTTCGCGCGGTCTTGTTCCGATAAAAAGTGCGCGCGCTACGTGCACTATAAAATCAAAGAATACACGCAGTCGCGCGCGCTCGTTACTCACGCTGTCCGTATAAACTCGCGGCGTTATCCGCAAGAAATTTGCATGAAAACCCCGCCTGATTTCGTCTTATCTCTCGTCCACTCGTGAGATTCATTTCGAATGCGCCGTTGATTTAAAGCCCGGCCCGCGTGTTTCAGCGGGTTACTTCGATTGCGAAGGAAACGACAAATCAGTGGGCCGGGCTGCATCAAGGCTGAAATAAATATGAGCGCGTGCGAGAACGAATTTTCGGTCGGGGCGGAACAAGCACCGATGAATCACAATTACGGTTGCGATGTAGCGGTCCGCACGACTTTTTCTGCCGGATTTTATGGCATCGCAGGGACTCGGGGACTGGCGCGTATCCGACTCGCTCGACGGACGAGAAGCTCGACGGGAGCGACCGGGCGAGTTTTCGGTGTAAAAAACCGACCGAATTATTGAGACTTCTGTGCGCCGGTGGCACTTACGAACACGACGGGCACGATATCGGAAAAAGTTTTTA